AAGGTGTGATAGGGGGGGGGGGGGGGGGGGGGGGGGGCGTCAACAAAAAACCCTCAAAAAACCACACCCAAATATTTACAGCAATTCAGATTTCTTTTTTTCCAGCCTTCACACTTGCGTTTCACTTTCTGCAGAACTGTAAACACGCTATCCGCTGAGACCAAGGCCTTATGTTATGGTACGCGGCCTTTTGGGCGGTGGGGGCGGCATGAGTTCAGTGTCAGGATCGAGGTGGTGTTTCCGCGTCTGTCCTTGAGAAGCTGCTGTACATCTGTCAATGAACTCAAACAGCATCTCCTTCGTAACTGGATTCTGGATGCTGTTGCATACAGCTGGGAAGAAAGAACATATTCTCAAGTTAATAAACCAATTTGTTGTAGTCGGCACTTCAATAATTTCATCCCCTCTTTGCAAAATAAATAGCATAATGTGGCTCAAGTATTCAGCCTTAAACGCGGACTTTCACAAGATGGTTACGTCAGGAGTCAAGTATCTCTGCTTTGCCCCCCCAGAGAGCAAAGCAGTGTAGTGGGCCCCTATTTCTTGGGAATCTCTCTTTTTAAAACAAAAGGCATGTGTGTGTAGGCTTCATGGGGCAACTATAAAAACACCAAGAACTGACATCCTATTGAGGCAAGCAATAGCAACAAAGACCTTGTGAGTCATGGCTTTAAAACACTCATCAAATCCAAACAAGATTGGCCTAATATTGAAAACCTCTGAATTAAGGTAACTTTTTTTTCACCACTAAGTACTATAAATACCATAAACGCACAATGCACAGGACTTTTTTTTTTAACCCATATACCTTCATGTGGCAGAAAGACCTGACACCAAGCAAGCTACGTGTCTACCACACCAGACCATGGGATGGAGGACAGGCCATAGTGCTGCATGGTGGCCAAGGCACGCGTGTACAAGCACACCTGGATTACTTAACATGACTCCCCAGGTCATAGTGTGTAAGTAATGGCCCACAGGATTTTATGGAACAAATAAAAAGGCTTACTTCTCTTAAAACAAATATTTTTAATACTTTTCCTATGTAACTTTATACTTCTCTAATTAACCCTCCCGAGAGACTTAGGGAGGAGGGAAAAAATAAAGAGCAAGAAATTAAGTAGGAAACCTATGGTTATCTTGGAAGAAAGTACAAAATGACTAGAGGGTAATTTATAGCATGTCAGGATTGGCCACAGTATGGATGCAATTTCCATGCAAAACAATCTATTTACCCCCTAGAGTACTAAACAACATTAAGACTCCTTAAAATGTACTTGCAATATAGCATCGTTACGAACAACAATGACACTTAAAAACACTTTCTTTCCCGCAGAATTCCAGAACAACTCAAAGCATTACTTTAGAATTAATAAAACACCATCCTAGCATTATTTTTTTATTATCTCATTTATTTTTGGTGAAAAGGTGCTTTAAAAGTTGTACTGTATGTGACTTTAGCAGTTGGAAAGCATTATGATTATCAGTAGTTTAGGAATAGAATTTGTGCCACAAGGCAGCTGGTATAACTCTATATCAACTTTTAAGGGCTGTCCTAGCTTAATCACTCAAAAAGCCCTTCTCTTTTCGATTTGAAAGGTATCAAAGTCCAAAAGCAAGATGGAGACAGGTACTTATTTTGTTGCTATTTCAACCTTGGGGAAAAATAAACAGTATTTTTCATCAAGAGAAAGCAAATAGAGGAGAAAAGATCTAAAGAAGGGGACAACGGAAGTCTCAAATGAGAAAATACAACTTTCGGAGATTTTGAAAAATGGCCAAAAGTGAAAATTTAAAGCCAAAAGAAACCTTTCTGTTCTGAAAATTCCCATGGAAAATGTGAAAAATTTCTTACAAAACAGTTCTTCTTGTAGCATTTAAATTTCCTTTAATTTTTATTTTTAGGAAGTTATGTTTTGGCGGAAAGAAAACTCAGGAATAACACAACTGCTCTACAAGCAGAGAAAATAAGAAGAGAAAAAGGGCAGCTACATATGCTCTTAAGAATGAAGGAAAGAAGAATATGCTACTCCTCAAAGAAGAGAAAACTCCAAGGCAAACTAACTATTGAAACAATAAGATGAAACAGAGAAGAGAAATTTAGGTCATGGTGACAAAGAGATGTCGTTGTACTTGTATGACTTTTGTGGCCCATTCCTCTTTCCCGACAGGATTGCTCAGCAAGTATTTGAGCTACATTCTGTGCTGGTTCCCTAAGGTGCCAACAGATTTATTATCTCCTGGCAAAATGACCGCATTTTGTTTATTCAAGAAAATCTGCTCAGGCTGAAATACAAGTAGAATGGTTCAGAGAAAATCCTACATCATCTATGCATGCTCTTGTAAATAGCATGGTCTTAAATACGATTAGACTTCATTTTGGCACTTAACAAAAGTCAGTATCAACATGACTTGTTATTCAGCGTTGCACACTTCTATTCAAACTCTTATACTTCAGCTGAAAGTAAACAACATCATTTAATTTACAATACTGGCAAAACGTTTTTTGGTAGAAGAATATAAAATTCTCACAATTCTGCAGGGATATACCCCCAACCTTTCATTTGCTTCCCTCTTCATTGTTTGTATGACTATTGTAGAAACTTAAGATGACATTTGCTCCTATTAATTTTCTAGCCCATCTGCCAAATAATGGTTTTGGTGTTTTGAATAGAGGTGAAATTATAATGGATTTTTTTGTTCAAGAAATTAAACTCAGTGTGTCAGTCTGCATTACATCCCACAAGCCAACACAACGCTAGGAACTGATGTTAGTTAGTTAACTGCTGTTGCAATGCTATGGTAAATAAAAACTTCCCTGGGTCTCACTTAAAAGGCATGCCCTGCCATTTAAAGTCTCTTGGAGCAAGCGTCTGCAGTTCTACAAAGGCTGAGGCACTTGCTTCTGCATTATCTGTTAAATATACTGCATCAGAGTATTTGTTTAACTGACTTCATCAAATAACCCTGAAGTCAAAGGATTCATGCTATATAAAAGCTAAATATAACATAAGCATTTGCAAGATGAGGTATTACTATAATAAGTTAGAGAAGCCAGGACTCAAACTAGAAATGAGAACACAGAGTGCCTTTCCTCCTTAACTAGAACAGAGTTAAAAAATTAAAATTTGAGCCTGAAAAACTTTTAAAGCAAATTATTCTACTCACCCATGGCAGTGCTGTAGGCATTTGGAAAGCTTTTGTCTATTCTCTGTCTCATGAAGACCCAGCTGTTGTTCTCAAACTTGCACTCTATAATTTTATTGTCGTATTGTTTCAGTTCTTTTGTCACCTGTTTAAAAAAAAATTGTTTGGGATAAATGTATTTTAATTCACATTTTTTCCTTCTTTTAGGGATAAATAATAGAAGATCAAAAGCTGCACTGCATTTTTCAGCAACATGCCTCCATCTTACACAGGAAAACTGCACAGACTACATCTCCATTATACATATGCTCAGCTACTCAACATTTTAAAAATACTTTTCAAATCTGCTGTCAATATACAGCAATTATATTATGCTAAAACATCAGCAGCTCTAACAGAGGGGGGAAAAAAGTCACTTCTGGCCCAAATGCAAATAGGTTTCCATGGGAATAAACTGCTTCCAATGTAAGTGCTACTGCCAGCCTAAGTGCACGAAATGTATTATCCATGTTTCATCAACCTTCTTTGTTGAAGGTCTCAAAGCCAAATGTCAGATTTCAATACCAGAAAGAGCTTATGGAAAATCATTCCACTCTTTACATTACTGAGGATTTTTCTTTTCTTTTTTTTCTTCTTCATTCGTCTTTAAAAATTTAGATTGTAACTCCAAAACAATGCCAGATCTCAAATCACGTATGTTCTAAATCTCCTTCAGGCCTCTCTTTATTGATTCATAGATTTGTCAGCAGCCAATATCCTGAGCTATTTGCCTTTCTATTTGGCCATGCTGTGTGGTTTGGAAATGCAGTTTATATGCATTGGACTTCCTAGTTGTTTTGGCTACTTCATCCTATGCATCCTAATCTACGATACAATGCAAAATTTTCAAGTAACCATGGTAACCTGAGAACCTTATCTAACGCTTTAACAATTTTACCCATATACTTCACTTTCTTCCAAAGGGCCTCTTCAGAAGTATAAAGCTGTATTTAACTGCTAGCTGCGTTCAGTTTGCTACAGTTTACCAACGAAAAGCTGTACAAGGTAATATAACGCTTTGGATTCAGGATCTTATGCATAAGCGCTCTCATAAAGAGACTGGTTATTGCAATTCATTAGCATAATTTTTCACCTCTGTTGTCTACTTGCTCCCGAGCGGTGACACGGGAATTTACTACTGTCAGAGGGATGCAGATTTGAAAAAGGCCATAACTGTCTCCAGACAGCTTAACAGCACATACAGTGGAAAAGCCCATGAACCTCTTTTCCATTAATTCCCAGATAAAGGCAATTAATTCATGAAAAGGTCCTGAGCATGGACTGAGTCCTCCTGTACTGCATGGTACAGGATTTATCCTTAATTTGATAAGCAGAATCCTAACATTTTGCTTGGTATTTACCCTGAATACTTGTGTTCGTTCCCGGATAGGGAGCCCTGGGATTTTACTTGTCAAGTGAACATGGCACCATAAGACAATTTTGTTAAACCCGCTTACAACCGAGGCCTGTCCTGCTGCAGGGCTGACAGAGTCGGAGTCAGGTTTCTGTGTCACACGTTACTCCTTCATCCATTCCATCACCTGCAAAGAGCTTTCTTCCTAAAATCATTTAATCCTGAAGTGAAGTTTGCATCTGCTGCTGATCACTTGGATGAAAACAACTGATTGCTCAGATCAGCAATCTTTTCCTTTGCAGCATGCTCTGCACAGCACGTCACTTCTTTCCATCCGTGTTGAAAAGCTACATACAGTCCAGATGTTTGACTGACACACATTTGTGGATGTATTTATGTTCCATTAGGTGTATGCAGGAAAACACAACATCCTTTTCTAGCGCGCTATGGATACATAAACCCAGGAAGAAACTCTTGGCTGCGCAGTGCCTTGGGAAGGCATATTACTTTGAAAACACCTGCCTAGTGGAAGCGGGGGCAGCAGGGGGTATGAGCGTGTGTCTGATTTTCTGCCAAAGCAGGGAAATGTTGGAAGGATCACCTGCTAGAGAGAGAAATGTATAAAACTGCAGGCCATGACTTCAACTAACCAACCATCTCATAAGGCTTTCTCATGGTTTATCATTCTTCTAGTGTTCAGATGCTCAGAATAGCAATAAATTAGATGGCAGTTTTATCTGACTGTGGCAATTAAGCAGTATCATTAACTATCTAGATACTTGCTTAGCCATTCAATAGCAATCTGGAAGACAGATCTTTCCACAAAATATGAACACCTGCCAAAGCACTGACTTAAATTAATCTTCCCGTTAGAAAACTGGTGATCATAGTCTTTAACAATTGCAAGTTGTAGTAATTATTTTACAAAGGAAGAAATACAGCACCTACTCTTCCCTATACTTTGTTAAGTGACCTCAGTCTTGTAAATGTACTTATTGTAATATTAATGAACGTTTTAGGAACTGCTGGGCATTTGATCAAGACTACAAGTACTCTGAGCAAAACACACTTTTCAGCATTAAAAATACTCTTCTACTATTGCATCTTAGTAGACTTCTAAACGGGTATTGTTTATGCACAGGACTGAACAAGCCCATAGCGAACCTTGTATCCATAATTGACCATCTACCTATCACTTGCATGCTACGTTCTGGTATTTCAGCTTCAAAGCAGGACAGGGAAACCATCAAATTTAACTGTCTTGAATTTCCTTCCCTTTGGGAATTCATTCTGAGCTGCTCAGAGCAGCAGTCTTCTCGATTCTCCCTTTGCAGTATGGTGTTCATCCCTCCTTCTTCCCTTTAAGTATTACAGTCCATAGGAGTATCTGAATAATGCACCATCATTTCTCTTCCTGAGAGGTACTCCTTCTAGCTAGTGCTTCACAGAAATGGGAGAAGTGTCTTAGGAATGATGGCAGTTCTCAGTCAAAATGCTTATCCTCATCAGTAGCAATGCTTTTGGTACAGTGCCAATACTTCTGCCATACTGTTGGTAAAACGCCTTGAACCAGCATTCAGCAATTTCAAGACGGAAACTCCCACCACACTAAGGATTCTGGAACCTCCCTTAATTAAATATTTATTCCCTAGCCTATTTTTGGATAGCCGGTCAGAATTAGAAGCCCAGAGGATCACGTCTCAGACACGGGGCTGTCAGAGGTGCTGCGCAGCAGAACAGTATCTCTGCTCTGGACCACAACTGTGTCCTGGGCAAGGACGAACACCAACCTGTACTCTACTCTCCTTTAAGGAGGAAGGAAATTGTTCCTCAGCAGGAACACTCACTGCTCCTGACTGCATTTGATCTAGTTATCAGGAACCAGCCTACTTGCCCAACAGAAATCACTTCCCAAAAAAACAGATGAGCTTCCTCTTGGAAGCTGATTCACTATATTACTGCTAGATTGCAAGATGTGATTGGAAAAAAGTGGGCAAGAGATGCATCCCCATTTCAGCAATAGCTCATTATCAAATCAGACTGGATATAATACAAGACCATTGCCTAAGAATGTCAGATTACATGAAGATGACAGCTATCTTCCTCTCCCTGCTGAGAAAGGCTTCCCACTGCCATCATCATCTGGGCTATTCACTAGGAAAAAATTTGGTGGGGTAAGCTTATTCCTTTTTCTAAGAATGATGACAGTTAAGGTTTAGGAAATCTCCCATTTTCCAGTCTCCTTCCATCCCCTATGTTCTGAAAGAAATTCAAAATATATTAAAAAAAGTTAAATATCTAACCCATCTCAAATTATCTTGCCTGGCAGAATAATGGAGCCATTTTGAGAGGAATCACAACAGTGTGTTTATATGCAGCTACATTTTATGTTAATTTAGAGCAAAATGTGAAAAACCAATATATCCAGCTGAAAAAGAGGAGAAACCATTTACTTTGAATGTAGTTAGCTCTAGTCCCGTGAACGTGCCTACATTATCTCTGCTGACTACCAGTGGCCAAGGGTTTTCTGTGTATCTCCACAGTGCACTTGATCATCAGACTGGTCCATAATTCCACCTGTTGAGTCATTCTTTCATTTACTTGAAGCATACATATTTTCTGTGAAGACTTCACTCAAACATTAGTCTCATCACCCTTAATCCCAAAGGAGAAGTCCCGTGAACGTGCCTACATTATCTCTGCTGACTACCAGTGGCCAAGGGTTTTCTGTGTATCTCCACAGTGCACTTGATCATCAGACTGGTCCATAATTCCACCTGTTGAGTCATTCTTTCATTTACTTGAAGCATACATATTTTCTGTGAAGACTTCACTCAAACATTAGTCTCATCACCCTTAATCCCAAAGGAGAATGACATTCCTGGGAGAGCCGCTACTTTACATAAGAGGTATTAACAACGAGAATTTAGATTTTAAGGTAATTAAGTTAATATTTCAGAAAGCATGTCTACAGTGGACAAGCTTTAAACGCAGCTACCTTCCCCATATTCAAGTTCTTTAGAAAGAAAAAAGGAGGTAAGCTTTTAGATAAATGGAGACTTGACTGAAAGAAGCCCTATGTTTCCATACGCATATTTTTTTCAGAGCAACTGAGATTATTTTAGCTCAGTAAATAATCCCCTTTAAAGAAAGTGATGTTTGTAAGCAAAATTTTAACACATTCTATTTCAAATCCGTTCTCTCTTTAAATGCCTTTTTGTTGCACTTTCCCCTCTATTACCAAACATTTACAGAAAGAAAATCATTCTTCAATTCACCTATTTCTATTGCTTATTCCACATCACTTGTCATCAGCCTATTTCTAAGATCCCAGAAGAAATGATCATAATAGTAGATGCAGAAAATGTTAACTTCCATGAAAGAACAAATGAGCAACAGCAGCAGTTGAAATCTCATGAAATTAAAAAGATCTTTATTTCTAAATACAGAATTAAAAAAAGGAGCCATAACACACAGGCAAGATAGATTCTAAATGTAATGGCTTTCTATTTTCTAAGAAGAATCTGCCTTTTCTTTTTATAGCTGGCATGTGCAATGAAGGCATTCCTTGTTGATATGCTCAAGTACACAAACTGTTTTCTTTTTTAAACACAAGTTCCAATGCCTGGAGGGGAGAAAAAGTTCAGAGCTGCCGCATAAGGCCTGGAAAGTAATTCCTCCTCTCTCTGATATCATAACTAACTTTTCTCCATTAGGATCCATTCTCACAGCCAAAGCAAACAAGTGAAAGC